TTTTAATTTGTAACTTTAAAAGAGGGTGAAAAGTTAATATATTAGCTTATGCTCCGTGTGATGAAGGTTGGAAGCCCCTTCTTTATTATTGTCTTTGTTGCCTTTTTTCTTTTCTACTTTTTTTGGTGTGCCTTTTGAATTTTTATTTTTTTTTCTTATAGTTTGTATTTTACTATGTTTATTAAAAATTTCAATAAAATTATTAACAAATATAAAAGAAATTCAGCTCTTTGACATATCAGTATCATTCTCATGCAGATTTTTAAAATACTCATTCCACTAGTCACTCACTTCAGTTTCATCCCATATCACTTTATCACTTCTGTTTGAAATTCTGTTTGTCCTGCTTGGGGCTCCTTGTTTAGCCTTCTTCCTCCACTTCTAAAACAATGTTTTATTTCCATCAAAATTGCTCTGTATTTTCTCTGCTTGTTTTAACCATTCCTTGCTCTCTCTTACTAGCTTCTTTCTCTTTTTTGTCTATGCATAATGCACAATATATTTCTTTGTCCTCATTTTTTTTTTTTGCATAGTACACAGTATCTTTCTCTTGTCCTTATTTTTTGCATCAATATCTCGGATACGTTTTTTCTCATCCACAGCTTTTCTTTTTTTCACTTACCACTCTACCAAGCATCCTTTTTCATACTTCTCTTTAGTTTCCATGGCACTGGCTTCCAAATAGCTTCCACATCCTTTTTATGTATATTTGCCATTCATTTTGCTGAAAATAATTTATCTTGCAATGTTTTTTCACATAGGACTTTTCTCTTCCTATAGTTGTTTTACTATTTTGCTTTGACTCCAGTTTTTTCACTACTTTTCTTGAATGTCCATTTTTTAAGAACTACTCTTGATACTACCAAATACTGTAGTTTGCCCTCATCATCCTTATATCCACAAATTATCTGTTGTTCCTCATGAACAATCAAATCAATTATGCTTTCATATTTATATTCATCCCCTTGTCATGTATACATATGAACAGGCATATACTTTGAAACAGACTTTTTCACCAAATAGTTATCCTTCTCATTCCTTCCTGGTTTTCTGAATGACCCAACTACTTTTTTTTATACTCTCTCTCCTCTCATTCTCACCCATTCATTGTTGTCACCTAGCAAAATAGGTTTTTTCCATGGACTGTATTCATTCCAAAACTCATCTCTGGTTCTTCCATTATCAACATTCACTGGACGATAACATACTACTGTCATCAACTTATGGATTTCTATTTTCATACCCACCCATAACAACCTATATGGTACCAATTTACACTTTCTGATGTACATTTTAGCCATTTCATTTATAATTAAAACAATACTTTTATTTATTCATTCATTCAATTTATATAGCCGCCCATCTCAGGCCAGTTTCCTTGTACATATTCATCATTTCCACTCCACAAGATCACACCATCTTCAGATCTATATCTTTAGTTTCACAGACCTACAACATAACAATTTTATTTAATGCATTTTTTTTAAATTTCTCTATCTTCCATATAATTTTCATCACTGAATGGAATATTGAGCTTGATTGCTCAATAAGTATGAACTCAACAAGGTTTTTATACTACAGGCGAGATGTAGACTAGATTATCATCCTTAGTCTTACCCATACTATATGTAACATTCCCTGCTAACCATATGGAACAGTCAGTTTGGGCACATTTTATTATTTCATTCCAAAGATCCTGCCTGCTCAGATATATGCAGGATATGATCCTCTATTTTAAATTTTTTAAATCTTCCATGATAGAAGTGGAGTTTTCTGCTGATGGAAATGGAAACCCACATGAAACCTAATTGCAGCAAAAAAAAAAATTCCTCAAAGACTACTATAAAATGAAAATGGTCAGCACTGTAAGGAATACTTAAAAATCATAGTATCTACAAAACATATTCTGTAGGCAGGCCATTTCATCATGAATTTTATTTACTTTCAACTGTGTGTGTGGCAGAAAACATATTTTTAGCCAGAAAGGGCAGAAACTGTATTTACTGTCTTAGAAAGTAGTTGCCATACCTTTTTCAATTGTACATTTGTCTGTTTTCTTACTGAAGAACCTCTACTCTGAAATGATTTTTCCTACCATGTTTTATTTCAAAAAGGATCCATATAGTGGGAATGAAAATAATTCAGGCTCCTTTTCATGTTGGACGTTACAAAATGATGGATTATGGAGAAGCGGCTAGCCCTTTACTGAACCTGAAAAGGTGATTGCATTTATTTATTTTTGTTTTGTTTTCTGGTCAAGTTCAATCACAACTTTCTGTATGTGAAGGATAGTTCACATATAACACTGCAGATCAAATTCCTATCTGCCACATACCTATCTTAAATCAAAGTGTGACTGTTTTATGTAGTTGGTCCAGAATGCAGTAGCACCCGTGTTCAGTGGTTAGTCATGATCCTACTATGTTACACCAGTGCTGCGGGAGCTGCTCTGGTTATCAGCAAATTTGTCAGTACAGTTCAAGATGCTGATCACTACAGGTAGTCTTCGCTTAGCGACCATAATTGGGACCGGCAACTCCATTGCTAAGCAATGTGCTTGCTAAGCAAAACGTGACCATGACAGGCTTACAACCTCACTTCTGCTACGGTCATTAAGCTGTGTCACTAAGAAAAACATCACATGACCACAACTTGCAATTTGACTGCCAGCTTTTCCATTGACTATGCTTGTTAGAAGCCAGTTGTGAAGCCTGCAAATGGCTGTCACGTGGCCAGTGGGATGCTGTGACAGTTGTAAATGTGAGGATTGGTTATAAAGTTACTTTTTCAGCACTGTCATAACTTTTGAACAATTGTGAAACAGGGCAGTCATTAAGTGAGATCTACTTGTAAACGGCTCAGAACCTGGGTATAGACCACCTTTCCCCAATATTTCCTGCCCATACTCATTGAAAGCCTTAGGGAGGGCCAACTAAGAGTACCCATCTACCAGGAAGTTCAACAGGAGTGGGCCTGATGAAAGGTGTTCTCTGTAGTAATTCCCATCTTTTGGAACACTTGCCCTCCAAGACAAGGATGACCGCCACCTTCATAGCCTTCCAGAAGCAGGTGAAATCATTCTTCTGGAAGGCCTTCAGGGATTAATTTTAAACAGCACTGTTATATTCAAGAAATGTTAACCTATTTTTGATATTTCATTAAATTAAAACTTAATATAATTAATTAAAATAATAATATAATTGACTTGTATTATATGTAAGTTCTGTAGGCCACCTAGGCTCCTTTTGGTTTCAGGTAATTGATGAAATTTACGAATGAATGAATGAATGAATGAATGAATGAATGAATGAATGAATGAATGAAGCTGTTGGCAATGCTAAATATTTTTAACTAAATATCAGCAGACAAGAGCAAATATATTTAAAAGTACATTATCAGTAAAATGTATCTTAGAGGTTCTGGAAATGTGAAGCTTGAAGTTCTAGTGGAACTGCTAAAAAGTGTAATGGTGCTTAGAAATTGCATCATCTGACCTAGAAACTCTTCGCCATCCTATACGAGGTAAACTGCTTATTACTGGAAGTGAGGGAGAGATGTCTATAGATCCTATGTTTGTATTTCAGAAATGGTTTGCAACATTCAAAAGGAAATATTCTCTTGAAGGCAAAAGTAGACAATCACATGAGTTTAAAGTAAACTGTTGTAATAGCCAATTTAGTTCAAGTCAGAGAGGGCTGGCTGAACCCTTCCTCCCCCACCCCAATTGTCTCAAAGTGTGCAGCCACTATTCTTGGTGTTCTGCATAATAAATTACAACATGGGAGCATATTCCCAGTTCAAGTTGCATCCATGAGGTCTCAGTCAAGATAAGAATTTTTCATCCAAATCAGGCTCCTCTGGCTATAATTTACTTTTTTTTAATTAACCCAAATGGCTGTATATGATTGGGGTCTCATCTAGACTACTTCTTAAACTCTGACAGTGCATTTTGCATAATGGATGTTCTGTTTGTGAAGAACTTCTGACATATTTTATTTATTTATTTAGTGGACTTGTCCCCGCCCATCTCCCCACATATGTCTTTAATAATACCCTTTTTTCCTCTTATGAGAACCCTTCCTCTTGAAAATGTTATATTAGAAAAGAGTTTGCTTTTCCTTATTCTTGTTTTGTAATACAAGAAACAAATTCTTTGTGCCTTTCTAAAAAGTTAGCAATGAAACTAATTGCATTTGCATTTCTGTATAAGAAATATTCCTGGCTTATCTAAGCTGGAATCTTGCTATCCCTAGGCCTGCTGAATTGTATACTTCCCAAACATGGAAAGATGATGGAACAAATTCCCTTGTCTTCACACTTTTGGAAAAGAAGAAAAAATCTCTTTATACACACATTATAGTAGACGTTGGAGCTACACCACAACTACCACCTCCAGGCAGAAGAAAAAGGAATAACATATAACTTGGATATCATCTGAAGCTTTCAAATCTTGGAGCTATTTACAAGCTAAACTCACCAGGAAAGCAAAGAGGGTAAAGGTATTTAAGAGTACATTCCTTGAGCGCATTTGACCAAATAAAGCAGGAGCCTAATACAGGGTACTAAAGAAGCCGCATCTGGGGTATAATGGTTTCTCTTCATTGATATTAGCAACACAGAAAATACATATCCTATCTTGTTCTGCAGTAAACCTTCAGGCGCTAGAAGGTAGTAATAGTTCTCCTATAGGGCTTGCGAAGTACCAGCAACTGATTACTCTATAAACAATTGCAAAATATCTACTGAACCCTGTGCTTTTTTCTAATTTGCACAAGTCTTCTGCATAGCAAATGTTCATTCAAACAAAAGTTACATTAATGTGGGTATTTATTACTAATTTTCTCAATAATTATCTGAATATGAATGTATCAAACTCTTCTAAATAACATGAGACTCCAATGAAACACGTTGACTAGAAAAGCAGGCAATCAGTTCATCTGAATACTTACATAAGATAAATGTTTATTAATGGTATTAGTTATTAAAATTCACTAAAATGTATTTTCAAAGTAACACTCTGTAGGAGTTGGCCTACAAATCTCCTTTTGAAAGATTCTTCACTAGAAATTCAGTTTTCTATACCTGTATTTTAAGACAGCTAATTTTAAATTGTATTTCAGAGTGTTACTTTTAAAATACATTTTAGTGAATTTTAATAACTAATACCATTAATAAACATTTATGTAAGTATTCAGATGAACTGATTGCCTGATTTTCTAGTCAACGTGTTTCATTGGAGTCTCATGTTATTTAGAAGAGTTTGATACATTTGTGGAGACTCAAACTGATGAGATGGAGCAGCTGTTCATGTATTTGCCATATTATAAATCTGGAAGTGAATGGATGTGGAGACTTACCCTGTGCTATATCCCAGCTCATTGAATCATAACAGACTTAGTTTGGAAAGGCAGAGTAGTAAATCTAAATATTTAAGGCTGCTGTTTATTAAAAGCAACAAAGCACCAATCTTGAATCTATTCCCCTCTGCCCATTTGTAAATCAGTGGGGAAAATAAGTAGAATTGTTTGGCTTGCAAACCTATGATGTGGCTTGCTGGTAGCCACATTGAAAATACAAAAATAATTTCACTTTGAGTAGCTATACCACAATTTATTTTCCTGGTTCTTTTTTTAAAATAATACTGAAGTTTCACATTGCTCCACAGGACTGAGTATATGCTTAGTACTAATATCTGAAATTCATTAGCTACACTAAGCATCACTGTATTTTTAGACCATCCTGCATTCTTTCCTTGCAAAGGTGTATGCTATCATTTTAATAACAATTTATATACTTGTGTACTCTCTGCAAATAAGTTTGGCTGTTCTCCTTTGAAAAATAAAATGAAAACCACACTGATCAATTTATTTTAGTAGTAAATTCTCACACATTATTAAACTAACACAGATATTGGGATAAATATAACAGAAGATCAACAGCTATTACATTTTATTCAAACTTTTATTTTTTTCTTGTTCTAAGAAAGAGGAATTACGTGCCATCCCTCTTCAAAATACTATTATGATGAGCACTTATTCAACTGACTGGAGAAAAAACATTTTGAAAAGTTGGGTACTGAAAAAAAAATGTCTTGTTTCTTTGAAAAGGTAACAGCTGAATTGTTCTTGTATCTTTTAACTTCAAAAAGTAGTAGAATTCTTTACAAAGGATTATTTTTATAAAAAAAAAAAAAAAATTCCAGCTAATCAATGTTGTCCGGTAGTTCAAACGGAAATAACTAGCAAATCTATCAGTGTTTTAAAAACATTGCCTCTGTAAGGAACTTGTTGAGGCTCCACCGACAGGAAACGGAATATTTCACAGCTGTAGCTCAGTCATCACTTTTTTTTTTTTTTTTGGTCCATTCTAATAAAATTTATTAGGCA